GATGAGCGCATGGAAGACCTAACTGAGCATTCTCAAAACAACAACTGCCACGACGGCTGGCATGAAGCATGCCAACCATACATTCCTGACAAATATATTCTTTTCAGATTTTTTAATCATTTTTCTGAGAACTTTTTTTTTTTTAATACTCAGTGGCGTACATGCCCAGTTGGGCGAACTACATAAATAACCGAGGATCCGCAATGTGATAAAAAGGACTGAATGGATAATGCAGTGCAAGTGAAATCTCAACAAGCAGTGTACATCCTGATACATACAAAAATGCTGCTTTATAGCGCAGTGGAAGACTAAGATACAAGTCCTGATCCTGACCGGAACTGACCTCTCTCACGTAGTGCAAGACAGCGCAGCAGAATGCTAGAATACCAATGACTAGCCCGATCAATGTCGCAGTGCAGACCAAACATACACCATCCTCATCACAAGGTGTGAAGGGGCCTGGCGCTATACACAGGAAGAATGCGCCAGGTCCAATCCATACACAGACGAAGAGGAGGGGAGCAGACGAAGAAGAAGGGGGAAGATGGGAATGCCGTCAACACCAAGTCTTCGTTACACGTCCCAGATAATCCCTCGTCAAATGTCTGAAGCCCAAAGTCGAGTCTGGATCCAAATGTCACCAAGCCCGTTTCTCATTGTCTGCTGAGGCAGTGAAGTCAGATAGCGAGAGGGTGAGAGGGAGATGGTGGACAGAGAAGAGGAAGAAGAATAACTCTCTCTCTCTCTCTCTCTCTCTCTCTCTCTCTCTCTCTCTCTCTCTCTCTCTCTATCTATCTATCTATCTATCTCTCTCTCTCTCTCATGTGGCAGGTACTAAGCTGTGACGATGGCGCCGTGCTGCAGGTACCTCGAAGGCGAAGCTGGAGCTATGGTGCTGCAGGTAAGTCTCCATGGCCTCCGCCGAATCTCTCTCTCGCTAGTACTTTTTTTTTTGTGTATTGTGAGAATTTGTGACTATTGACTAATATTTCATAATGGAATGCATTCAGTTTTTATTTTATATTTGTACATAATAGAATATAGTGCAATCAAACTCGTTTTCAAACACACTTTTCACACATGTAAACATTAACGCAGCATACTGGCGACATGCGCCCGCTCAAAATTCAGAGATATGGTTTTCAGATACGAGTTCACTCCCAATTGGCTATGGCGACCTCAGCGCCCAAACATCTCA